TCTACTCTACTCTACTCTACTCTACTCTACTCTACTCTACTCTAGGACATGAAAATGATTTACAACATACATAAATAAAAAAAATTAAATGGGCAATTCTTTTGTGCATTCAAAATAATTCAGTAAAGGGTTAAAATAGAACAACCTAAACCAGAATTGAGTTGTTGATACAAGCAGTCAATTAATTATTTAAAAAAACCATTATATGTCTGTTTATAGGACTCAGATATCAAAGATGAGAACGTTACTGCAATGAGCAAGTATTTACAAGGAACACGAGTGTATGTTTTCTTCTATTGTAAATGAAAATAAAAGCAAAAAAAAAAAAAGACTCCCACAGAGACAAAATTAGGCACAGGATCATTTTACTTTCTGGCATGTCCATGAACTAATCAACCGATGTGCTCCCCCACCCAAACTGAGATCGAGGGCAGCTGTGATTTGTAATGCAAAAAATTGCTACGGGCTGCAAGGGCAAAATTCTTAAAGCGAGATAACTCTTTAAATCAAAGGTAGATACTGATTAATTTAACCTCTTGGGAGTAAGATTATTGAGTGGTAGAATCCACTTGATTTCTTTTTAATAAGATGGTCTCACTGTCATCCCTTCTCTTTTCTAGAGTTCTTTCTTCTTGAGAACTGTTTACTTGGGTAGCCTCCTGGCCTGCATTTTCTGGTACTGACAGTCTGAAGGTCTAGAAATTGGGGATATTCCACCAATCTCCTTTCAATTTATTATTTGGAAGTTAAGACTCTTCCTCAGTTCTGGATCTTCCATTCAATGCTGATATTAAGGAGTTCCATCAATCTCCAGAGAAGGTCTCCATGTTGTAAGCCTACCATCCTCTTAACTCTAGCTGACATGTCACCTTGTTCTCTGGACCACAAGAAGAAATTCCTTTATGGGTTACCAATCTAATGTTCCTCATATTTCTTTATGGATTTGTGTGTGGGTGTGTTTGCCTTAGAGATTATAGAAGAACTGCTTGTTATTGAAGTTGGGTCAGATTATATCATTTAGAATGATCTTTCAATAGTAGTGGTATGTAGCCTTACAACTAACTAAACTCTCTGTGCACTTAAAAACATGGCCATTGGCAATTTTACAACTCTGTCTAGAGCAGTGTTGTCCAAACTTGGCCACTTTAAG